AGTCGTCAGCGAGCAATTAAGCTACTGCATAAGCTACTCCGCTTTGGAGCCATCCTTCCTGAGCTAAGACAAACATCCGTGAGCTGGAGGCTAAAAAAGTGGGAGCTAGCTCACACTAACTCAGCTTAGAGGGAACACTGCTGCCAATTCCAAGTGGGGAAATTTCTGGATATCTGGGGGTGGAGCCTGGAGAGGGCGGGGTTTGGGGAGGGGAGGGACCTCAGCAGGGTACAATGCCATATAGAGTCCACCCTTCAAAGCAGCCATTTCCTCCAGGGGAGTCCCAGCCACAAATGGACCACAGTGACTCGATCAAGGTTGCACCTCACCAGTGTTCACTGTGCAAAAATGATTCTAGTCCCGTTACAGTCCATGAATTTGCTTCTTTTTTTTTTGTTTCTTTATTTTACGTCATGCCGTGCTGCCGCTTCCCACAATTGCCATGCAACTACAGATTTCCCGGATAAACAATCCGTTTCCCTCAGTCCTTCGTCAGGTTGCTTCATACTTGGAGCCCAGGCTCTACGTCTCCTACTCAGAATTAATCTTGTATTTTCTCTGCATCTGCTGGCTCTCTGTCAGCTGGAGTTCACTTGTAAAAACAGATCTCCAGGCCCCACCTGGTCCTGGCAACCCTGGTGGGATAGGGTAAAATCTACCCTCCAAAGCAGCCATTTTCTCCAGGGGAACTGATCTTTATAGAGCGGAGATCAATTTTAATTCTAGGAGACCCATCTGGGGGCTGGCCACCCTCCTCTGGAACAATGATTCACTAGGGACAGGTACCAGAAACCAGGGGCCACCCCTGAGAAACAGGGGAAGCTGGAGCCTGTGTATGTTCCTGAGATTTTCATCTAGTTACTCCTCCATGGCGGGAAAAGTGGCAGCTGTCAAATGTCTGCCTGTGTCACCGTGCAGCTGTGAGAGGCAGAGAGAGGCACTGAAGGGGGGGGGGGACTGGCAGCAGTAACTGTAAGGCAATATCTACTCCCTTCTCCTTTCTGCTTCGCACAGAAGGATGGATCCAAAGCCTCCAATTCTAGGTTATATCTCAGCATCCGTCCCGGCCACCTCCTGCTCCGTCTTTGTCTGCACATTTTAAAAGCTGTAAAACCGTAGCGTGGCTTTGATCCATCCTTGCAACACCACGGGATGTGGAAACGCAAAAGCAGAGGCCAGAATCTCTAGCCAGGAGGGAAAGAACAGGAGATAAATACTAGTCAAGATAGAAATAATCACGCTAGGAAATTAGACTTTCTTTCCTCCCCCGAACAAGTGTGGGATTCACTCCGTCAGGGTCTTCCTCCCTCTGTTCCTCCCCAAACATCTGTTAGACCAGAGAACTGAGCTCTTCTACCCCCCCATTTTCTTAAAATATCTCTAGAGAATCTCTGGGCTGATTTCTTTTTTTTGGTGGGGGGGTTGAATTCCCTGTGATAAGATCCACTCCCTTGGGGCTGACAGAAAGCCCCTGGGCATATTGACTAAAGATTGTTGATTGCGCTGTAGACCATATTTCAGCTAAACTTTTGTACTGGCAGTCAGGGTATTTGGGTGTCCTTATTAAGAGGAGTTATTCAGGTTTTTTCTTTATTATTCAAGGTGGCTCAGAGGTTAAGACACTGAGCTGCAAGACCGGAAGGTCTGTAGTTCGGCATTTCGAGACCCTAGTGCCATGTTTTTTAGGTCCTCCATATTAAATGGTTAGATGAGGTTTGGATAATTAGTTTAATTTCTCTTCTTTTTTTCATTTTGAGAGTATCTGTGGACGTTTTGGGATCTTACTGGATCTCTGAGAGTTTTGTTGGAGCTAGAAGTAGTGGAGTAGTTATAAATCAATTTTCTTGTGGCGACCTCAGTATTTACTTGGAAACAGCTCTCTTTAGTAACATAAGCTTGAAGGAGTGTGGACTGAGACCCTAGTGCCATGTGAGCTCCCGTCTCTGGCCCCCGCTCCTGCCAACCTAGCAGTTCAAAAGAAAGAGATTGCTTCGGTGGGAAGGTAACAGCGTTCCGTGCACCTCGGCGTTTAGTCATGCCAGCCACATGACCACGGAAACATCTTCGGACAACGCTGGCTCTTCGGCTTGGAAACGGAGATGAGCACTGCCCCCTAGAGTCGGATTTGACTAGCTTTTGAGCAAGGGAACCCTTTACCTTATAATATCTTCCACCACCCTGCCTACTGCCTGCACCACAGTCTCCCTTCCCCCAAATTAATTTTGGAGGCACACTCCACTATCACGCTAGAAAACGGTTACATGTACAGTGTGTGTAGGGGCAAATTAGATGTTATGGTGACCCAATCCATATGAGTCATACTGTACTCTTACAAAGCAGGGTGGGGGGAGATTTACAACCCAGCGTTGGGAGGGGGTGGTGAAGCTTTCCCTTCTTTCTTGTCGTCCCCCCCCCAATTGCTTCCTCACAGTTGTTTTTCTCCTGACAAGGATTTCTCAGAATCTTGGAGGGAGAAACACAGCTGGGGTACAAAGCAGGGGGTTTTTTAGTGAGGGGGGAGAATTCAGCTCCTCTTACTGTCCGCCCATGTTGTGCTTTAAATTTATGTGCTATTTCTTTAGCACCTTGTTATCCA